ATAATGACTTTTTAACTATACATAATCAATATTATATATTATGTACTAATTAATGGTATTTTAGTATTTGATTCACGTTTGATAAAATTATAACCGTATAGCAAAATGAAAATCATTTAACGTGAAAACCAATCAAGTGTATTACGTAATTGATAATCAACTCGATTTAGACATAAATATATAACTAATAAATAATAATATGTATTCAAATAAATATTAAATTAATTATTTTGTTAATGACTTGTGCTAAAGTAAAAAAAAAATCGTTTAAATATTTAAATAACACAAAAAATAATTAGACCGGTAATATTATGTGAGTTTAAGTAAATAATCCATAGTTATAAAAATATACTGCAGGCTAATTTTTTTAAACGGCGTATTCAACCAATCTTGCAATTCTTTAAATTTAAATTTTAATGTAGATAATATTATGTTATAAAAACAAGATATTTTATTAAATTTTATAAGTTTCCTGATGAACTAATTTAAAAAAAATAATATATTATACTTGTTAAGTGGATAATTTTATGAACATTTCATGTAAGTATTAGATAAGTATACCTCCTAAAATCCAAATTTTAACAAGTAGTTTTCTGAGTTATTTAACTTTATATTTAGTCTATTTTATGTTTATGTACAATTTAATAATAGATAATTATGGATATAGAAACTAGCTATGCAAAGATATGAATCATACGTAATGTAAAAAAAAAAATATAGACGAACTTGACTTTACTGATTGGTGATTTACATATATATTATGTTTTTATGTATAACCATGTAATTTTATTTATCCTTAACTCATACCTATTTATATTCTATTTAAATATTAAATCGACTTCTATCTGTGATAAACAAGCAAAATAACTCAAAAACTATTCGTATTTTAATTTTAATTTAATCATATAAAAAATTTTAAAAACAATTAAAAAATAATAATTATATTACCATGTCATATACGTTATTATTCCGTAAAAAATCTAAGTATCTACTTAAAAATGCGGTCTTTAAGTAAACTGATAGATATAAGATATAAAAAAAGTTATAAAAATTAGGATTTCAACAAATAAACTATTAATTTTAACAAGAAAAATAAGTAATCGAAGATAAGAAAAATCGTCCTATATAGACGAAACCATACAGTAAATACTCATACAACAGAAATAGCATAACGAATACGAGTAGTGTGTTTTTATGTTTTTAATAGAAAAAAATAAAATAAATAAATTGTTTATTTTTCTATTGCTAACTGCAGCATTAGTGCTTATTACCACATCATTCTGTTTTTGCTCTCAAATCGACCGTTTTGGTTTCTTTTATTATCTAATATTTTCCGAGCACACACTGCAGCCAATTGAAGATCTTTTCGTTGCAAACGTTTTCATAAACTAAACATTTGTTGCGCGTCCAATGCTATTTTTCAATGTAATAACACATCATTTATCTCACTCTGCAACAACGACGGGACTTAACAAGACTATTTTGATTTTATGACCCCCGTAAAGCATAAACCATATTACTGCCGAACCCGTTTCGTTCAGCAGCAGGTTAGACATAGAAAAAAAAACTAAAACGGAGCTCCGGTCGCGTAGATCAACATTTCATTTCCGTGCACATTATAGTAGTAATATTATACATTATTATAATATACCTACCGAACCAGACTGGCGATACAAACGACGATAAACACGACCTCCATTGATGTTATTACAGTATTAATCGCGCGTGTATTGTCGAGATTTTCGTAGCGTCTTATACGCGTTTTATACACGACATTATACATATTATTATTATTATTATTCTTATTATTATCGCAATATAACAATATAATACTATATACCGTTCGTACACTTTTTGAACAAGGGATTCTCAAACACTACGGATCCTATAAAAATACAAAATTATTTTTTTTTACGAAAGGAGGTGAATATTTCGAGGCCAAAAAAATAGATTAAGAACCCGCATTTCAAGCGGTTGTTTAGCCAGTGTCGGATTTAGGATGGTTGGGGAGGAGGGTGAGTGGCGGTAATTGTTGCCCCAAGGGCGGACACTGGGGCACGCAATGACAAATGCTTAAAAATTTAAATATTTAATTGAGTTAAAATTCTAAAATAATAACAAGAACTGTGTACCTCCATTAATATATAATAATTATTCAATATCATTAGTTATCTTAAATTTGCATGATTGAACGTAATACCGTAATACATATGGGTCGATAAATGGCTATCGAATATAGCCTATCTTTAAGGCACATTTTACCTATCACGATATTATTTTGAACTATTTACTAGTTCTAGTCACTCTTAAACACACAGTATATTACAATATTAACAATTAAATTATGTGTTTGCGTATATTGCGTATAGTATTATTATTATCGTATACATATAATAATTACTGCCATTACAACACAACAGCGAAACAATAACCGTGCTCCATACATATTGTTGTATTAACCAATTATATATTTTTTTCATCTCTTTATTTGTATCTCTTCGCCGAGAGATTAAAAACGTTCATTATGTATTATCGTTTATTCCATCATCGTTACATGGTTTTCTTTTTTTACGACGACTTACGAGCGCCAGATAAACCGGTATCGATGTCGTTGAGTGTCTACACGTCTTAAAATTCAAAACAGTTATTACTTTTTTTGACTTTTTCTTTCGTTTGCTGCAACAAAACGAATACTATGATGATATATTACCGATAATTTATTTTAACTACAAATCATGCAATCCGGGGCCATGATGCCCCAAAATAATGACCATATATTTACAGCCAGTGGCGTATATATTAGATAAGCAAGCGATGGTTTTTTTGATTTTATTATTTGAAATTGTGTATTCATAAACAATTTATTGCCCTTTGCTAATTTTTAATCTGTTACTGTCAGTATTTTCTAGAAGAAGTGATAAATATACAGATATTATGCTATTTTATGCGAACTATCTGGTATGGTTTATAAAATTAGCCAAAAGTTGATATTAGAGATATTGAAACTAAACCAGAGCATTCATAGATAAATTTGCAAATGAAAAAAAATCCGTATTATTAACTCTTGAAAATTTTTTATTCTTAAATATTATTTTTTGATTGTTGTAAAAGTCATTATACATGATATAGATAATAATTCTAATGGTATTTTTATTTTTTGTATATTTATTTAGTGTTTCGAGTGAATATTATTAGATGTATTTAATATGATTTTTAATAACTACATATCATAAATTATATTTAATAAAATTTTTTAATAATTTTATTAATAAAATAAGCAACTATAAGATATAGTGAAATATTATGAGATCGTCTGTTATTTATTTATTTTTTAAACACCTGTTTTCCAGGAAATCAAATATTACATTCCTAACATTTTTTCAATTATATTATTATTCGTTTTTAGTATATATTTATTTTTCAAAACTGTATTAATATATTTTATAGCTATGTTTATCTCTTATCAACAAGCAAAGTAACGCACTGCATTTTTTCATTTTTTCGTTTAACCAACCCATGTAAGCAATAAATAGGAAAACGTAATAGAAATGATGGAACACCCTATACGTTTATGATATTGACGAGAGCATAGAGCGGAATATAATAATGATAATAATTGTAAACAAAAAATATATATTTATAGTGTTTTAATATGACTGCACACCGAACACGAAAAATCGATTTAACAGCATCAGATATTATAATGACAATACGCGTTAATTAAATTACCAAAAATGATATATATGAACGAACTTTAAAACGTCGCATTATGGACCCATTATATTAATATTTATTATCCGAGTATTATTGTGAGATATATTTTATATTTCGCTGAAAATTTCAAAACGATACAGAAAATATAAACTCGTTTAATAAATTCATCAATCTAATCGAGGGGTGTCGGGATACATACTACACAGATTGATCTAGATTCGGTTCAAAAGTTGAATGATGCGTATCTCTTTATAATATTTTAATGATTGAAATAAAGTAAGTGTGTATAATTTATATATTTCGATTTTAAATTGTTTTTTTAAAAAAAAAATCACCAATAAAACCAATTGAACTGCAGTGATCAAATCAAAGAAACGTTAACTATTCCTAAGGTAAAAATAAGCACATATATTGAATATTGAAAAATCGACTACTGTGGTGTATCATTTATACGCGATTTACATACTTTTATGAAGTTGAAGACAATTGCCATAATATTTTTACTATAAATTTATATAAATGAAAAAAAATAGTACATACACCTACTCACCCGTAAAAATTGAAATAGCGTTATATGAAACACGTAACTCTGAAATGTATTAATATATATAATATATATATATAGTCTTTGCCAATATACTTATCAGTTAGAATTTGAATGCAGGCGAGTTATATCCGTTATATCGTAGATATTTTATATACTATCATAGTACCATGTTATTACAAATCGATGTTTTGAGTTGGTAATACGTGAGATGTGAAAAATGCAAAATTAGTTATCAAAAAAAGGCATAAATTACACTATTCAATACAATCAAGTGACTTATGAATTTTTTTAGATAATCAAATCTGAATTATTATCCACTAATAAATATCAAAGTGCGTGCATTTAATTTAACAGATAAATTTACAGAAGTTAAAATAAAATATTGAAATAATTCATAATTATTTAAATTTCTACCGTTTTCGTATATCCCTATTGCGTATTATACAATTATAAATATCATGAAATATCGATGGAAATCTAATGAAAACATCACCTCTTATCACCTCTTATCATCCTTACCGACGTCCTACGCAATTCGGATATAAGTAGAAAATCTGAGGTGGAGGTGGCTATATAAGCCATATAGCCCATAAGACGTTATTGCTGCTTATTATTAAAAATAATTATAAATTATGACCAGATATAAATATTAATATATATTATGTTTTACTAGCAGTTATTTCGTGTCATGTTATAATTTATAACTTATAAATTATAATTTTATCACTTTTATGTATAGGACAAATGAGTCACGAAGGACAACACTGGCACGCCACCGAACAGTGTTTCTGTTGTCACACGTGTAGATCTTCGCTGTTGGGCAGACCGTTCTTGCCACGCCGCGGTGCCATTTTCTGTTCAATCGCCTGCAGCAAAGGTGAACCTCCGACGACAATGACGACATCGCAAAGGCCCGAATCAGAAATAGCCGATATCGCTGCTGCCAGCGCGCAAACAGAGCAGACGACGCCCGCGCAAACGGTGCAGTTACAACCGGTCGCCGCCGCGCCTGACTCGCCGGCCAGCGCCGGAAGACGGACCGCATCGACCAACGGATTCGCGTAGGTTTTCCTTGTAATTTAAATAAGATTTTATCGCCCTCCTCCGCGATTATATTATTATTATAGGGTTTGGGTTTGTTTTTAACATTCATTTATTTTTCTGGTCGACAATATAATATTGTACCTATGTTAAGTGAGAGCAAAAATTTCGTTCCATGACACTGTGAATAAAAGTTCCTAACTTTTCAATGCATATATTTCACAAATTTGATTTTAATATTTTATCTTTTTAATGCAATATGTTATTTGGTAAATATTCTACAATCTACGATACATTTCAATAGAAAATAAAATGAGACTATGATTTTGTGTGAGATAATATGCCAGTTAATAGAATATATCAATTGTTTTAATAAAAATTACTGACGATGACAACTATGATAATATAATACTTTGCTTCAAATCTTAAACCGCGTTAATTTATCTGTTGTAAACGTTAATAGTAAAAACTTAAGCTCTATATTATTTTTAAAATTTAAACTTAGAAAAAAAAAAAATAAAGTTAGTCTTTTAAGAGATTTTACTACATTGTTCACTTTCACTACACATCGTCTCATCAAACATTTTTATATAAGTATATATATATATATATATAACTCGGCCTCTACGAATACATTTATTTCCATACTTGAGCATTTTTGCAGTTTATAAATGTATATTTTAAAGAGAATATCATATGATTTTTATTACATACAAATCCAATCCCTAGTTACTTATATTTTTCACTAGCGATATCCTGGACAATGAGCCTATACGATTTCGTGTTACTGCCTCATGATAAAATAAAATGTTTGTATGATATTAAGTGTATGCAATTAAAGTAAAATCATTAGTGATAAATAGTAAATTTCGAAAAAGCTAATTTAATTTAAACATTGGAATCAACCGAACATTTTTTCAGCAATTATCGTTCTATGCACGTATTGCGTCTTCTGCTGCTACCACAACCAACATATAAAAACGTGGCACAAATCACTTACTCTTGTGATGCGTTGATGCCCCCCTGCCACCCTCCCTCGATAGAGACATATTGGTAAAACTGTGGTGGTTTTTATTAAAACCAATTGAAAAACTTTAACTTTATTATGACAAGTATGATCATCTAAGAACCCTCACGCAGCCTGCTCAAAATCCTTTAACAGATTAAAACATAATCAATCTGAATCCAATGATGACCGTACATATGATGCGTTAATCACCATCACTCGGTAATTCGTTTTTATCTTTTTCATCATGTAAGCTTCGACACTCGAATAAATGAAAAAATCCAAGACAGTTTTGAAGAGTGTGCGAAATATGGAAAGAAAAAATTAAAAACGTCACTCTGATAATGTCCTGGGCATACTCATCATTTAATTGCAACTGACCCGTCCACAAATTCGAAATACATTTAATCGAAAAACCATCTGGAAAGTTTGCGTCCCGCTCATTTCATATAAATGTATAATAAAACCGGCGATCCCGAAGTCAGAGAATTTTGTGTTATGAAAGAATTATGGGAGGTTAAAAGTATGTAAGGTTGTATCATTACATAACTATATATAATCAAACACGTATCTAACTTTTTAATTATCAATTTATGAAGATATTTAGTATAATTAAATACATGTTTATATTTCAGAATAAGACTTGTCGAGCTATAAATAAAACTATTAACTTAAAAAATAGACCACATAAAATCCAATTTAAACGCCTTATATAAATAATTAAAAACTATCCCAATGATCTAATATTAAACAAGTTATAAGAATATAAAATTAAATTAATATTCATACAAATTTTTTCCTGGAGATTTTTGTAATTATTTTAAAGGACTTAGGGACTATTCGACGACCACCTATAGACCTGATGATCATTGACCTAATGATTTTTTTATACATAACAAAAAAAAATTTCTTAATTTTATAGAATCAAAATATAAATGGTCGACTTCTTTCTCTATAGAAAAAAATACGTGATATATAACCCCATTCGCCGACATCATTGTCACAAATGTTACATTTTGAACGTCTATACCAAACAGCTCCCGACAACGGAGACACTCGCATAAAATACAATCGCATTTCACTTAATCCACTTATCTAGCCTGGCTTAGTCAAAAACAATATAAGACAAAAACTAATTTACTCAAATAAAAACAAAATGCAATTTATATATTATAACGAAAGTCTCACTACGAATCATGCGTGTCTATACATATACCAATTGAAACGCGACGCCATAGGCAAAATTTATCACCCAAATGTTCACCGTAATCGAGACTTGCGAACCCTTCTTGGTCCTCGATGGCAGGTATTTATTGCGTCAAACCACAGGCGTCACTAAAATTTCGCTACCTAAAAAACTATTTTATTAGAAAAAAAAAAACCTATGTAAATGAAATCGAAAAATATAAACGAAGAAGTCGATATTTGGTCACTAGTGACAGTGTGAATCGTTATAAATATATTTATGTAAAAAATAAGTTTGAATATTGACAAAATATCACAAAAAAAAAAAATGGTATGAAATGAGTTCTAATCGAATATCGTAGAGTGTTGAGTTTATAGGATTCCGGATAATAGCGATCGAAGCAAATAAACGGAATATGAATTGTTCAAAAATAAATCGTTTTCGCTATACCGACATTTTGATCAGTGACTACCATGCGTACTATAACCATATTAATCTCCTTGATTTCCGCAGGTCGCCTTCGCCGTCACAACAATCGGCGTGCCGGTCTCCGCTGATGGGCCGCAGAGCGTTGCAGAATGCCAACAACAGCAGCACGTCGTCGCCGTCGCCGACGCGCCACATGCCGCAGCGATCGGCGGGCGACGGGGTGTTGGCACCACCGCACGACGGCCGACCGAACGCCGTGGCCACGCGTCCGTCCGACTTGGACGTAAGACAGCGGCGCCGGCGCAACGACGTCGGCGCCGTGGTCGAGACCAGGCGCGTGCTCGCCGTAGTGGACAGGGGTGTCTTCTGTCGATGCAATATTGCGTGAGCCAGGAATCGTCGCGGCAATGTCGTGTCGGACATCCCGGCTTAAGAGTGGCTCCACTTGCGTTGTGGCGCTGGAAGGCCGAATCGAGCCGGAACCAGCCGCATCGGAACTGCGGCGAACGGTTGCATCCACTGTCCCATGTTAGGGCATTGGCTCGATGATCCTTAGATCTCGCGTTATCATCCAGCGGTGTCGCGGTCATAGATCATGCTCTGCAGATGGCCCGTTGTTCGTGCCGGCATTGAGCACGCATATATTAAAAATTGAACGTGAAACTGGTTGGTATTAATATTTTATATTTGATTTGATATTTATTTAGCCGTTCATGTAGTAAATGGCTTAAATCAATTATACCATGTCGTACAGATTGAGCTGGGATTACAATGAATACGGTATGCATAATGTATGGTTTTCGATTATTTCTATTTAAAGGATTTAACATAGACAAACTAACCTTTGTTATTTAGACGTTTTAAGGAAAAAATACCTATTTTGCCTTAATTTCGTATTAAACACTCGAATACTCAAAATAAGCCAATGAAACAACCAGTAAAATACCTATGAAATGACGATATGGTAATTCAAGTATATTCTTCACCGAGCTACTAGAAAAATTGTACGACTATGAAGGCCAAATTATTGCCAAACTACTGACAACATGACGCTATTGTACATTGACCTGATGGCATGAATAAATGTGTTGATAATTTAGTAAAACGGATTCTTGTAATATGGCATTTTGATGACATTAACAAATTGATGAACTGTCAGGCCTGTTCTTAATTAACGGCTGAACAACCTAAAACCTAAAGATATTCAGGTACTACTAAGTTCTATATAATGTGTAAAAACATATCAAATGAAGCCTCTAATGTGAGTATATTTATACTAATACGTGTATCAATCCGGCATCAACAAGGTGCGCGTGACGACATTCGCCTGTAACATTGCATCAAAGGCTACTATTATATTCACGCAGGGTAATAATGGTGACCAGCTATAAGTATAAATTATAATATAATATGCAAACGCCGGTGTAGCAACTGTTTGTTATAAATATAATATTCATGCGGTCGATATTAAGTTTATGCTATGTCTTGATATCAAGAAAGTCCTTTCAGCAGCTTGCCATATCTTCGTAAATAATAACCAATATAAAAATGATCGACTATGTTCGTTAAAAACCAAAATATCTGACGATTCCGTCGACCATATCGCTATCGCCATACATCTTATCGTCAACAATGTATATGACAATTTATAGCAATATAAATGCATGAACTATCTTCTATACCGCTCTCTACACAATATTTATAACAATGCAATATT